CATTATCTCTTTTTCCAGCCTACACTTTACCACAGTCTCTTTCTTTAGCCTACAATTTACTATTCTTTTCCTAGCCTAAACTTTACCATGATCTATTTCCCTAGCCTACATTTTACCATTGTCTCTTTCTTAAGCCTACACTTTAATATTATCTCTTTCCCTAGCTTACACTATAACACCATCTCTTTCTCTAGCCTACATGTTAACACTATCTCTCAGTCTACCCTAGACATTAACACAGTCTCTTTTTTCTACTCTACACATCAACTCTTATCTCTTTCCCTACCCTACATTATTACTATACCTCTCACAATCTACATATAAACATAAACAAAATACACAATCTTCAGCAGTTTATTATTATGTAAAAGCAGTATATTAGAATGAAAAAAGATACAGTATGTGCAGAAGTTCCATTGGTCAATACAGCAGCTCTGACATAAAAGCAGTCTATTAGAATGAAAAAAAAGATAGTTTAGTATTTGCTTAAAAGTCCCCATTGGTAAATAGTCACAACAAAACTCTGACATAAAACTGGTTATATACTCATAAACTGATAATACTCATTAGAAAAAAAAAATGCAACAATACTATAAGCTTTTTTCTCCCCCCTAAAATGTTGCTATTAGTATTATTTTTGGATGAAATCTGGCAATCATAATTAATGGTAAGAGACCTTTTTCATGTCTTTGGTGCCATCAGACACACAGTGGTAGACATTTATTTTTATAGAATAACTGGCACTTTAGGTGTTGAGGTCAAGCTCATGCCCCATTCTTTTACTTCCAGAGCATTAACTGGTAACCATTTTAGGCTAGGTCGACCTGAAGGCCAAGGTAAATTCTTGGCAAATTCTGCCTCAAAGTAGATTTGAACCTTTGATCTTCAAGGCGGCGTGCCAGTTTTTGATGATCGGTCACTGAATACCTTTTATGTCACTCTACGAACACATTGTGAATACCTTTTTTGTTTCCGTGTCGCTCAGCAAACCCTTTAGATCTTTCTTTATTGTCAACCTCTGCTCTAACATTTTTAATCTTAATGTCACAGTTTCTACAGATCTCTACTCAACAATAGGTTGCCATTTCCACAGTGAAGATTGGTTGCACTGAATCTCACACACATTGCCCCTCATTCTGCATCTCTCTTTCTGACAGGCTGCTGTTTGTCTCTTGTGATGTTAATTCCTATCTGTGTTTTAGTGTATCTTGCAAAACTGCCTTCAACTTTTCTACAGTCTGGTATTTATGAATAAAATATCTATTTATGTGGCTTAAATATTTCATGAGTCCCAATCTTATTTCTTTCAATATTTCTCTTCCTCTCCAGCTTCCAGAGGGCTTTTTTCATTTTAAGCTTCAAATTAAATATTGTAAATTTTTCTGTATATTTACAGACCATCAATCAAACTTTTTAACTGCTTATTAGTTGTCCAAGTTTTTGCACCATATAGTATTTTCAACAGTAACTAACAACTTTAACAACTTTTTACACTTCTCCTATTTAGAGTGTTTCCTTTTCAAAAACCTCTCTGTGTGATTTTCTTTTCTTCATGATGTTGAAAATATATTTGGCCATTTCTAATCTCTTATTTGTGTGTGTGTGTGTGTGTGTGTGTGTGTGTGTGTGTGTGTGTGTGTGTGTGTGTGTGTGTGTGTGTGTGTGTGTGTGTGTGTGTGTGTGTGTGTGTGTGTGTGTGTGTGTGTGTGTGTGTGTGAGTTGGTGTGTGTGTGTGTGTGTGTGTGTGTGTGTGTTGTGTGTGTGTGTGTGTGTGTGTGTGTGTGTGTGTGTGTGTGTGTGTGTGTGTGGTGTGTGTGTGTGTGTGTGTGTGTGTGTGTGTGTGTGTGTGTGTGTGTGTGTGTGTGTGTGTGTGTGTGTGTGGTGTGTGTGTGTGTGTGTGTGTGTGTGTGGTGTGTTGTGTGTGTGTGGTGTGTGTGTGTGTGTGTGAGTTCGTGTGTGTGTGTGTGTGTGTGTGTGGATATGTGTCTGATGTGTGTGTAGTAATTGTGTGTGTGGGTGTGAATTGTGTGGTGTTTGGCCTACTTTTGCACATTTTTGGAATAATAATAAAAAAAAATTCCTATTTGGCATATCATGCTTAGCCCATATTTGTACAGATAATGAACACTCACACAGTAATCTGGTCAACTTTAGGTGAACATTAATTTTCAGAACATTTCCTAGTTTCCTACTTAGAGTGAGTTGAATGGAAGGCAAGATCAACTAGAAAAATCTGACGGATTATACTGGCTCCTAAATGCTGGGTTGCTTTCTCTCATCATATTTTTAGCCACAATTAGTTAGGAGAAAAAAATGTCATTCTGTAACATCACAAAACTGGAACATCTTCTTTTTGTTCTTTTTGCCAGTGGTTTTCAGATGAGAAAGCCACAGGCTTCTACGAAGTCTGGGGTACGACATGTCTTCAAATGATCAACCCAGCCAAACCTGGGATCTCTCTACTGCCCAGATAGAGCATGTTTGTAGCGCATGTTCAGTATTCTATGGTGCCTGTTTCTTTCGTGTGAGGAGGTTGACTGAGTCTTCAAGACTGTGACAACTGAAGACACCCAACTGTGATTAGATGTCTTCAATCTTTAACTATGGCAACAGGTTAAGAAATTTTCTATCGTGCTGAAATTGTCAAATCTGGGATACACAATTTTGTAATATCAGTGACACCTGTAAATCTGCAAAAATTATTTTGCAACATATACTGAAATCGGGTTATCCTGATATATTAGTGTAATATCTCTTGAAATATAACATATAAATGCAACATCAATCAAACTGTTAATGATTTTTAATTATGGCAATTAAAGTGTTAACCTGATATTTAACTATAACACTAACATGGCCGTCACAGCAAGACACTACTCGGTAACATCAATGAGACCGCCACATCATGACACTGTTCTGTATAATCAATGTGACCGCCACATCATGACACTACTTTGTATAATCAATGAGACAGCCATATTATGACACTACTTTGTATAATCAATAATACCACCACATCAAGACACTACTTTGTAACAGCAGTGAGACCATCTAATCAAGACACTATTTTGTAACATCAATAACAAGGTTCCCAAATGTGCCAGAGTTGCTAATGACATCCCTCTGAGCTTGAGCAGCCTCAGACAGTGGGTAGACTTTAGCCACAACAGGAACTAGCCATCCTGCTCTTTGTCCAGCTTCTAAAGCTGCATGCATTGTTCGCCATTCAGCCTGCAAGTTTACAAGTAGACATTAAATAAATAACGAACAGCACACACAAATTCTATACCTATTCCTTTCATTCATTAAAAAAAAAAAAATATGCTGCCATCACTTCATTTGTCATCATGCTAATTTGTTGTCTTCTGCATGTTTAATTTAGACTAATCCCAACATCTGATAGACATAAACAAGTGTACTTACCTCTGTTGAAGTCATCAATGCCACACCCGAAATTGAACTTTCTTTTGTCATAATAAGTCGAGGGTTGATTTCAATTGTACCTCTGCACCCAATCACCTGTTTATGGATTTTAAATGTAGGAAAATTATTTAAGTCTTTCAGGTCTAGACGTAGTTACCTAAACATACTCTACCTGAAGCATTTACTTCTTTTTTCCCTTTCCTTCCTTTCTAAAAGAGTGGTTAGCAAATTGTGTTGTGGTTTGCAGCTAAGCTGCTATTTCTGCACTTTTTGACTCAATACAACTGATTTCAGCAAACCATTTATTAGCTGCCCTTTATGGCATGCTTCTTAGAGACAAGTGGGTCTGTAGGTATTCCCCTCCCTTGAAATGCCGCCCCTAGTACAAACAGGGAAGTTTCTCCTTGAAACCAAATAACATTGTAATCTAAAGCAGTTGTAATGTTAACCATAATAAACAGCATGACTCATATGTATAATAACAAGTGGGATAAAGTGGGTTATTGTAAAATGTGGACAACTCATACCAGTTCTATCAAAGTAGATTATGTTATCTGTACATTTGTGCTGAGGTGCTTGGTACTTCTTCTTCACGTTCACCGGCTGTAAACTCCGGCGGAAAGTTGTGGTTGTTTATCCACTTCTGGACAGCAGTCCTGTTCAAGAACTTGAGTGCTGCGTGTGCATCCATTTGACAGATCTTACTAATTTGTATGCAGACTGTTGGTTCCTTGTCTCTCAGGCAGATGCACTCCGACTTTGAATGAACATGCTTTTGGGTAGGCAGTGGGTCTATTCTTGTTTTGTCTATAACATGGGCCACAGAACCCACACAGAGAGCTTGGTACTAAAAGTGTTAATCTAAGAAGACCTGTAGCTATTTTTTTTAAATGGTTACAACAAATTGGCACAACCAACTCTCCGTTGATGCAAGCAGTCAATTATGAAAGTTCACATTGCACGGGCAATACTGCATAAGTACATGCCAATCTAAACATAATCAGCCTCATGGCATTTTTTTTATTGCAGTTCACAACACAAAGCCTTTGCAGACACAACATAAATAACACACCCACAATAAATTCACAGCTCACAGGGTCACACCAAGCGCTACTCAGCAGCTGGGTGACAGAACCTTTGGGTTTCCAGTCCAGAAATAGGGAATTTATATCAACAAGCCCTGACTAAAAAGCAATAATTTTTCAGAGCATCAGCGGTAAGCTGGCAATCTGTCTTACTGGATCAGAAGTCTCGGCCCTCTTTATGTAGTAATGTGACATCAAGTCAATGCACTTGTCTGATGGCTTAAAGTTCAATTGTTTGGGGAAACACTGAGGCAATTTTTATAACCCAAACCACCTGCAGAAGTCGGATGTGTCAGCCGAAAGGAGCAAATAACGGGCACAATGCAATTACATCTTCAGATAAACGGAGAAGCAGAAGAAGATAACCAAAATAACCTAAAACAAGCACCAGGAATAGTCATGGAAAGAAAAGTGGCTCAAGATATTACCCATATCACACATAAACTTCGGATCTGTCTAAAAAAAACCGCGAGTCTAGCACCATTTTCCTTATGTATCAGTGGCTAAAGAAGGTACTTTTATCTACAAACAGGGGGGCTGCGTGGTCTCGAGGCATGGTGTCTGCCTCAAATGCTAGAGGTTTCGGGTTCAATCCCAGGGGAGGGCTGGGAATTTTTCACATGGACTTGGACTTCTAGTATTTCCCCTGGGGATAGTGAGATCAGACGCCTGTGTGCAATGTTGCACACATAAAAAATCCCTTGGCATTTGGAAATCGAAAAGAGTAGCCTAACGGCGCTGCCAGGGCAAAATCTGGAGTTAAAAATCTACCCAAAGTATTCCAGGATCCTCACGGGTGTTACAGAGCTTGTGCACTGCGATGAGCTTCTTTGGACTCAGACTTGAGTTAGAAGAAGAACGGAGCATTTATCAGTTACTACCTGTGTGCTTTGATGTTGATCCGTTGTTCAAACTTCAAAATCTACAAACAGAAGCCTAAAGGACAGACAACAACAACAACTAAAGTCATATAAAATGGCACATGTTTAAAAAAAAAAAAAGGGGGGGGGGGGGGGGTGGGGGGGGGGGGGGGGGGGGGGGGTGTTCAGAGACAAATACAAATGGAAATGGTCTATCTACCAAATTCGCCCGGCTCTCTAGCGGAATTGGCTAAACCGGATTTCGCGGAGACCGGGTGACGTACTCCTTGTGGTCCGGGTTCAATCCCGGGGGTAGGCAGGAAAGCCACATTTTCTCCCAGATTTACGGTATTTACAATGGAATCAAGGCCGAAAGGTTGCGATATCCATAATACCGAGCCTAAGGGTTAACAACTCATGGCTTCTGGATACTAAAACAAACAAACAATCTACCAAATTCCAGGCCAACTTACCACAATCCTTCCTCTAAAGTTAACCAGGCCAAGGTCATTTTGAAGATTCACATTGGACAGCATCTCCAAAATCACATCCACACCTCCCACTGCTTCCTGTATGAAGAAAAGGCATCTGGGTGACTCAAAAGTGCCTCACTGTTACTATTATCACACATAACTGATCTTTTTCTTCTTCACGTTCACCGGCTATAACTCGGGCGGAAGGTTCTGGTTGTTTGTCCACTTCTGGACTTTAGTCTTGTTCCAGAACTTAAGTCTTCTTCTTCTTCTCCTTCACCAGCTGTACACTCTGGCGGAAAGTTCTGGTTGCTCGTCCACTAATGAACTGCAGTCCTGCTCCAGAACCTGAGCGTTGCGTGTGCATCAGTTTTACAGATCTCATTCTCTTGAATGCAGACTGTTGGTTCCTTGCCTCTCCGGCAGATGCACTCCGCCTTCAAAGGAAGCTCCCCAATTAGTTGACTCTTACGACATGCTTTTGGGGAGGCAGTGAGTCTATTCTTGTTTTCCCCATAATGGGGCCCGGAACCCACACGGGGAAGAATTTAAGTGTTTTTATTTCTTATCTGTATGCAGACTGTCAGTTTCTTGCCTCTCAGGCAGATGAACTTCAACTTCGAAGGTAGTGGGTCTAAGTCTTACTGCTTCCCCACAATGGGGCCCCGTAACCAACAAAGGAAATAATTGATTTAAAATGTTACACTATACTCAAATATGAAGCAAGCCTTGTAGAACATCTTATCTGAATCATAGAGTTCCACTGAAATGTGAATAAAAAGCTTAACAGAAACAGGGAAGCAGAAAAACGTGCGGAAAACAACACCTAACAACGTTTCAGCAGGTGGCCTGTCTCGAACAAATAAAAAACTACACAACAATTTTTCTGCTTTCCCATTTTGTTAAGTCACATTTCATTTGGTCACATTTCATTAGAATTCTTTGGTATTAGCTTGACTGCAGTCATCCCCATATTTTCACCACTATCTGAATCATATCAGGAATATGGACATTTTTTTTTTTGGGTGTGTGCTTTATATTGTTGTGAAATATATAAAAACAAACAATATGGGCTAGGGAAGAGGTTATGGGCTAGAGAAGAAGTGCTATGAAGTGATGCCCAAATTAGTTAAATCTTTTAGAGATGAGAGGGAAATAAATACTGAGAGAGATAGACATTACAATAATTACTCTTCGCATTCCAAGTGCTGCTGTTCGTCTATCACAGGTGATGATGGCCAGTCCTTTCATCCATTTATGACTGGAACATGTTTTGTGATTGCACAGATGGCTGATAAGGCCAATTCTAGCACTGAAAGTTCTTGAGCAATGTGGACAGGGAATAGAAGCCGCATCTCTCTGGTGATTTGCTTCAGTGACTTTCCTGTCTTGTCTTTTCTGAATTGCTGCTGCAGTTCTAGCAGCTACATGAGCCACAGCTCCTTGTTGAAGCGCTAGGATGAATGGTCTCATGCAGCGTCTTCCCAGGTTTTAGGATCTAAATAGAAGTCTTTCAGTGACATCTTGAGGTTGTCCTTGAAACACTGCTTACTGTCCACCTTGAGAGCATTTTTTTTTTTTTTTGGTAACTCACCATAGAAAATTCTATTCAGCATTCAGTGGTCAGGCATAAGGACTATATGAAGTGCCCAGTGAAGTTGTGATTGTTTTAGAATTGAGTAAATACTGGACAGTCAAGCTCTGTCGAGGACTTCAGTGTCAGGGATCCTGTCTTGCCATTTTATGTTCAGCATATGTTCTGAGGCATCCTGTATGCTGACTGGCATGTAAGCTATCATGTTTCTCCATATCTTACAATCTTCAACAGTATGTTTCCATTCATAGACCACATTCTGTCATGTTAAGAGAATACTGTCAATAACCTTCTCTCACTGTCTTCTATTTCTCACTCCATAAATTGTTCTAGCTGCCAATTTTCCAGTTTTTCTTATCTCATAATACCATTGAAAAAATGAGTGTCACCTCTTTCTGATGATTGTAAGAAGTTGTCTTCATGTTTTAGTTTGAAAACATTTAGACTGTTTCAAAATATTTAGATTGTTTCAAAATTTAGACTAATTACTTTGGAATTTTATGCATTCTTCTCTAAAACAACACTTCTGAGTCTTCATGTTTTCTAACTGTCCAAGATCCACAGCCATGTGTTAAACATTTTTTATGTAACCTGCAATAATCCTTTTCATAATTTCCATAGACAGGGATTTAATGCTTAAGCTGGACTTCATTTGATAAAATCCAGCTTTTGCCTCTCCTATGCTGTTTATTATCACTCTGATACATCCTCTTACCTGATGTTATTCAGTTGCTCTGGCACTCAAACTTCAGTTTAATTAGCTGCAAAAGAAACCTGGAACAATGGATTCACAGCAGCAACACACTAGCATGTATCTGGATCATCATTATACCTGCAACTTCTCGATATAGCCATCTTCTCTGTGGTTAAAAGCCAGCTCTACACCATTCTGCTTTATCAGTTCAATTCCCTCCTTTGTCCCAGCAGTCCCAATCACACGGAGACCATATGCTCTGCAGATCTGCACAGCGGCAATACCCACCTGAAAAATTAGAAGAATATTCATTAACTGCAGTGACTGCCAGCAAACACAGTAGCCCATAAATCTCAGTAAAAAGACAAGGGTAGTCAGTCCCATAGCAGCTAATGCTTTGGAGTGTGTGGTGATCTCCCATTGGTTATCAGCACTGTAAACTAAATACAATGGTGGCCAAAACTTTAAGACCCCTAGTTAGCCCTCTTAGCACGGACAGGCCGATTATCTGGCTCGTCGGTTCTGCCAGAAAAACTTGAACGGAACGGCCGATCAAGTCGGCACGATTTGTATTCGCCTTGATGCACATCTAGAAATCTCCTCTTTTTGAAACACTAAAAGTGATTATCGTCGGTATAGTCACTGTGCGTATTAGACTGTTGGCACACTTGCAAGTGTTTGGTTTGTGTGTAGTGTAAATTTTACTGCTGAATTGTTTGAGTTTAGTTCCCCAAATAGTGCCTGAACCGGCTAAGATGTACTGTCTGACTCGAGATGTTTCTGCCCCTGTTGACTTGATTTTTGATGAACATGTTGAATCAAGTGTTGACACTAATCTGACGCATTGATACTGATGCTTCCGGGAACTAGTTAGTAGGTCGCTCTAGGTATAATTGTCAGCCCTTCACGGGCTGCATGGGAATTCATGTGCGGTCCCAGTCTAAGGTTGCTTCCATAAATGCAGATGCCAGACACATGATGCTCTGGTACTGGGTTCACACCAAGAATCGTCACGTCCTGCATGTGCTTAACCCACAACCGGCTTAGCTTTCCGCGCTGGTGCGCACTCAGGTTCATTTCGGGTCCTGATTTACCAGGTCCCCATGTTCAGACTTTCGGCCACACAAATAGGTAGATCTTCTTCATCGTAACAGAGCCTATTTAGCGTTGTAGACTGTGCCTTAGTTTTGACAGTGGGTAAGCATGTGTCAGGGCATGGCTTCACCTGTCCTCGGTTGACCCAACACGGAGGGTGTAGGCAGTTGGATACGAAATTTTGACTTTTCAGTGTGGTGACGACGACGCTGAGGATTGACAGAGGATGTACGTAGGTAGGATCTTGCTGCGAGAAATTGCCCACAAGAGATGTTACTCGTCTTGGCTGCAGGTAAATCTCTCGGTCAAGGGTTGAGTCTCAGCAGCAGAGTTTTCCATTCGCTCCAGACTTTTAACTGAGAGTTGTCATTTGGTGCTACATTTGGCAAGCAATCTTTACTCATGTTTCTAATGAGTTTTGATAGACTCATCAAATATGCGTTTGGGGGGCGGGCTGGTGAGAGCCAGAAAGGACACTACACCTCTAGGGGCCGCCAGCTCCGAGATCCCCTGCCAACTCTGTTAATGCTCATTTGAGACATTATCCGTGGCGCACAACGGGGACGTGCAGCAGGAGTCTTGCATGAGATTCCGTAAAACCAGAACAGTAAAGGACTGGCGTCTGAGTGAGGTACGGAATATCTCCTTATACACATCACATCAGACTTAAATTTCCCTCATGCCTGTGACCGAAATCACAGCGTCACTCTAGTGTTAGTGATAGTGGGGAATCAGATGGGGACGCTGATCAGACCACAGCCCAACCATGGCTCAGGGTATATCCACCCAAAGATGTTGACACTCCAGCACATCCATTTCTTGAGCTGACCGGTCCAAAACACATTCAACCTAAAGATGTTATTGCTGTTTCGTATAAATACATGTTTTTTGACTGTTGAATTAATTACAACATTTGTAACAGAAACCAACAGATATGCAGCTCAGTTTATTGCAAAAAGTGAAAATATCCTGAAGCCTAGATCTATTGTTCAGAACTGGAAGCCAACGACAATCTCCGAAATGAAAGCAATTATTGCAATTATTTTGAACATGGGTTGAACAGAAAACATACCCTATTCCTCCTGTGGAAATGGTATTCACCACTATTGTTTTCAAAAACATAAATGTAAAAATCCAAAGATCAATAAAAATATTTCAAATAAAATATATTTTTGTTTTTAGTTATGTGTTTCATGCATTGAAATTGAAAATTCATATCCTAATTTGCTATTTTTAGATATGCAAATGAGATAATTTGCATATTCATCAATTTATTTTAATGATATTATGAAAATCATGAACTTCAATCTATATCCTTCAAATAAATCTTTTATTTCATGGGGGTCAGAATAACAGAATTGTGTCAAAAAAATAAAATAAAGTAATAACCAAATTTACTGAAAAAATGCTCAGTGTTTTTGGCTAGACATCCGAAAAACTTCCTGTGCTAAAAGGGTTAATGAATAAGTGATCTTTCCATTCTGTTAGGGAGTACTGCCTCCACTGCCCTAAAATAGTAGTTGATGAAATAGTCTGTTAGTGTGAAAATATTAATTATCTCCTAAGCGGTCTTATGATTTTGGTATGAAGATTATATAAACAAGATAACAAAAACAGAATCTGCCAACAGAGATAAATTAGTTCTTGAAATGATTTTGTGTGTGTGTAGGTTAACTGTCAAAATAGAGTGATCAGCCATTTCCAACATTTTTTGTCTAAATAATAGCATTATACATGGTCACAACACTGAAGGCTCAGCTGTAGCCTTTTTTTGGGTCTATACCATAAGAGAATTATATATGGTTATTAAATCACTGTGGTAGTGTAGTGGTTAGTTGATTCTCCTAATAATAAAGTGGTTGAATTTGTCTTTAATCTGTACAGTTCTGGGTTTTGATTAGGAAAGGTTAGCTTTACAAGAACATAATCCCATGGACATTGTGGTGAGAATTCCTCAGCTAAAAAACTAGCACAAAGTGAAGTTCCATTAACTACAGTAAACAGAAAAATAACAGCAGCAGGATGTAGCCATATCAAATATTATAAGAAGGGTAGACTACAATACTGCACTTAGAACAATCACACTCTTCTACCTTAACTAACATGAACATTTTAAGTTAATGAACTGAAGAGATTCTTACTGCTCCGCTTGCTCCATGAACCAACACTGTCTCCCCAGGCTTGGCATTCGCTCTGTTAGGAGAACCAGAAAAAAATAAGTAACAACTGCTTTTCCTAATTTATTTTCTTGAGTGCTGCATTGGATTTCAGGTCTATCTAGCTTAAAATGAGTACAGGTAGGTCATATCATCGGAAGTTAAGGCAGCCTGCATGATGTTGAAATCAGCGGGTCCATAAGGATATGAGTTTAGCATCATATGCCCAAATGCATTACTTGCATAAAAAGGGTCTTTCACTTATTTACTTTACTTCTTTGGGTTCCTGGCAATACATGACGTGTTAATGTCTTTAATCTTTTAACCCCAACCATAGCATTAGGTTCTCTGTTACACTTAAGAGTTTACTAAAAATATGACTTCAATCGTGTTCTCTTCCACAGCATATTCCTAGGAATTAATATGCAGCATGTCTGTTAAAAAGTAAAGTTAAGGACCCTTCTCAGTGCCCTTGATGTGTGTGATGCGGTCAACATCACAATGGTGGCCTTTACTTTCCTGGACTTCACCTGGTATCCATTTTAAACTGGGTCAACCTAGGGAGCCAAGGTAATATTTTTTGGGGGGTGAAAAAAATCCGACTCAAAGTGAATCTGAATTCATGAACGTCCTGCTCGCAGGCGAAGCGTCTAAACAAATAAATTATTTTTCTCCCACTTTCCAACAAATGCATCTGTTGATGATAATGGTAGATTAATCCTGTAGAAAACTAAATTAGTCACTTTTAAAAATTCATGAACAAATTTTTTTTTTAAATTGCTCCTTATCATCGGTTAAATACGCTGATTAATTTATTGGTTGTGAATCTTCTGAAATGACCAAGTTTTAACCTACAAGACCAATATATACTACCATTTATTCTATCTGGACCGAGACATGGGCTCACCTCTATTAAGGTAAGGTTTTCTTCTGATCAATACCATTTCTTCTTTTTTCAGTCCAGTTGCATCCCATTATTTAATTTGCAGCCCAATTTAACAACAGTGAAATTTAACAAGAGACAAAATTGCTGATATAGACAACTTATTTCGGGCGAACGAAAGAAGAAGAAGAAGAACCCTTTCACCCTGTAAATGTGGGGGAATTCCTGTAAATAAATGTCTCAACTCTTTCAGTCGTAGAAGGTTTATCATCAGAGTCTCAAGGGGTAGTCAAAAGAGACTTGAAAAAATCGACACATGGTTCATTGGGCTTCTAGGTAGAAACTTAGGAATGAATGATGTGTTTCTTCAGAATGAAAGTGTCCCCCCCCCCCCCCCCCCCCCAAAAAAAAAATTTGCAAGGTCACTAATGAATTTTATTTTAAAGTGTTTCCACATTTTATTTTTGGTGAAATATTAAAAAACATAAGAGGGGTAATAAGTAAACATGAACACAGCAAAGCATTAAATGGAATACATACACCATTGCATTTAGAAAAAAAAAAACCATATACGGTGTGACTCTTGCTGTGACTTCATGACCCCTATCAGTAAGGCTTACATGAAAATTCAACATCAACTTGGTTATAAAAAAGCCACTGGGGGTCATAAGAAATCACCTGTATGCTATTTTTAGTTACCATATTCATATCCTATAAAACACTGCCCAGGCGCACATAGAACCCACAGAATATAACTATACTTTCTGAGAAAAAGTCACTGTAAACTGGCTGATATATCTGCATTTTCAGGACTGTGCCACAAATGGAAGTGACTAGATTTAGTTTTCTCAGGCAACAGGATTAATCTACTGCCGACTTGTGATGAAATCTTGCTAGACAACTTTTTATGGAAAATAAATTAAAGCTGAAGCCCTGGCGCCGCTGGATCAATAGAAGACAAATTTTTTTTTATTTTAAAAGAAACAAAAGCAAAGCTGCTCTGAGAAAACTCACCTGAAAAACAGAGACTTATACGCTGTGTAGTATGGGATGCCTATACTAGCTCCTTGGTTGAATGACAATTTGCTATCAAGGCGTGCAACTGATAGTGTGCTTGACTTTGTGTACTCAGCATATGTGCCACTGACGCTGTTGATTGTAAAAACCCTATCCCCTTTCTGAAAAAAACATGGATTGGAGAAAATGATAGGCTGAACATTACCTCAGTCTGAATTAAGCAATTTGCCAAACACTGAATAATGGCTACAGCTAAATAATTATGAGAATATGCTAAGCAAGTTGTTTTTAATGATGTTTTTGTTCAGGTTATATAGACTGTATAAAGTCATTGATGTTAATTTAGATACACAAATTCAAACATCTTGGTAAATGTATATAACCTTTGATGGAAGATGTTTCACGGAAATGAAGTACATATTAGACAAACAGAAGCTGCAATTTATAAAATGAACAATATTTTAAATAACTAATCTCTGGTATAGGAGGTTAAATGAAGAATTTTTTTCACATTAGTCGTGAATTAGCAAACATCAACAAGTGCCTTGCCAACTGCTGTGGGCAATCATGTCTCTCTCTCCACAATCTGTGATCTTTAACAGCATGTCATGTGATCTTTAACAGCATGTCATGTGCTGACACCCCTCTACAAGATGACAAAAGGCTGTGAAGAAACTTCTCGTGTTGCACTGTTGGCTAATGTTAGTAATAAGCTGTCTTCAAGGCAATCCTTCACCTCTTTCAAACTTTTGGGTTGCTCTTTTTGGCTGTCCAAGGAATTCTAAAGATTCTTCTATAAAAACCCCATCTCAGAGGAACAATTAGTAAACAAACAAAACACATTTCTTGAGGTCTTAGACATGCTTTTCAACTGGGGAATGCTTAAAACAGATATGCTCGGAAAAAAATAAGCCACCTTAATGTTTTCAAAGAGACTTAGGCATGGAGACAACATCAGAAACACCAAAGAGAGGCAGTCATTTTTAAAACATGTTAACAAAAAACAAAAAAACTAGAACATGTGACGCAATATATGGTAACAGAGATAGAGGAAGATAATGAGAAGCGATTCAAAAGATATACTTCACTGATAAATATACACTCCCATATAATACTTTCTTTCACATAACATGTAAATATGTTCACATCTGCTGAAATTGGTTACCCCAGTAAGATAAACACATACACACAGGTGTCAACATCTCAAATGTGTGAATTATTGGCTTCTTACAAGTCCATTAAAGTTAGTCACTCCTCTAAAAGAAAAAAGGTCCAACTTCTTCAAAATCCACATACCTGCTGAATCCATGGTTACCCCGGTGTCTATAAGGCAATGACCTGGCAGCAGACGGGCATAAGATCCAGACCTGATATAGGTATCTACTGGGTTTACACCTGCTGCTGAAACCTTAATAAGGACCTGAAATGAAAAATACAATAATAAATGTTTGTAATTCAATAAAAAATATAAGTTGTTATACCAGGGAGATGAATGGTAGTAGACCATGAGGCAGACCAAGAAGATGATGGAGAGATAATGTCCAGACAGACCTGCAAACACTTGGTGTCACCAACTGGAAAGAGACGGCCAACTAGAGAGATGAATGGAGGCGGGTGATATCTGCAGCAATGAACCGCAAACGCTCGGAATGCTGAAGAAGAAAAAGATAAGTTGTTAATACTTTTGGCTATCTTTCTTATGCAGACCTGGAAATGTTTTTAGAAGAATAGCTGACGGTAGACAGACTAAGAACTGAGTTTTGAGAAGAAATATGCTAAATACATAGTATGGCAACAATTGTCCTAAAATCGCATTGTGTGTCGAAGACTTTCTTATCCTGAGTGGTTCTTGCTAGTTATCCTCGCCATCGCCATGATCTATGATTCCCATACACAATATAATAACACTTAGAAACATGGAAAAGAGCTAAAAAAAAAAAAATTACGTTAGAGGGAACACATAGTGAGAAAACATGATAACATAACTTGAATGTCCCTCAAGTGGAAACCACACGGTCAAAGGCAGACTCCTCCAAAAAAGTATGGAGAAAAGAAATCAGTGAATGAGATGAAAAAAGATCGGGAGAGCAAAGGGTGATGCACTCGCACCAAATGACAAAGACTAGTTTTGACTTGACTTGTCTCGACTGAGGAATCATTCTTCTATGAAGGACGATATAATGATTCTAACCCTCCCCCCCCTTTCTACCTTTTTCCTTTTTTAAAAGTGATCTATTACCTAAAATATCACAAAACAGAGATGTGAACTAATCACACAGAAGTGTCAAATGCAGTCTGCCTGTAATCAACTCATTCAAATTTATTTTATAATGAGATGAAATTTTAATTAAAAAGTCAGTATACATTGAAGTTAGAAAAAGAACACTCTCATGCTATTTAGAGCCAGTTTTAAATATGGGGTTGAATCCTTGATAATTTATTTAAATTTAAAAAAAAAAAAAATTTTAGGTCAAACAATTTCACTCGACCTCTGAGATGTGGTTTTACAGAAGAATTGTTAGAGTTCCTTGGACAGTTTAAAAAGAGCAAACTAGATGGGTAAAAGCCAATAGTCCAAGCCGACAATTAACCGGGACCTTGTGCCAGAATTCACAGCTGGTGAACGAAGAGGACAAGAGATGGAGAGCTTGAAGATGAAGACAACCTACCACAAACATCACAAAGAGACAATGATGATGTTTTTTTGGCCATGTTAAGAGAATAAGGAAAATGAAACAAATTACGACCACTGGAAAGATCTGTGGGAAAATAAAAGGCATAAGAAAACAATGCAAAACTATTCTTCAGTCTTCTGTCCTGGCATGGAGGGGTGACAGCGCATGAACTTATACACTCTGTTGAAGATCGCACACAGTGATTAGGCACTATCAAACGTGCCAGGCGGCACCGCACTTGATCACGATGATAATAAGGTTGCCATTGCATTCTAGATGGTTAGTGCTCACACTGTTGTTGAAATCAGCTCAAAGCGGTCTGCTATCAAATTGCCAGCAGCTGAATCAAACCCGATGTGTCAGAATTATGAAACTCACTTCATTACCCCTCAGCCACAAACATTCCCTGCCCCTTGTAAAAGTGAACTAATCTGAGATCAGAATGTTTCTGTCTGAGAGGCATGAAACCAACAGTCTGCAAACAAATAAGCTAGAGCTGTACAGTGGATGTGCACACAGCACTCAAGTTCTGGAACAAGACCAACAGTCCAGAAGACGATGAACAACCAAAACCTTTCCGCTGGTGAACACAACGTGAAGAAGAAGCCACAGAGGCCTATGTCTGCTTATATTCAAACATAAAAAAGTCAGTGTGTAGTCTTCATTGTTATAATCATGTGCCATGCCAATAAGTGTAGGCTCAAATGATCACCAGAATCACAGATCATGTCAATGTTGTTGTCTCACCCCATCCATGTGGCCAGGCCATCGGGGTATTTATCTCTTTGTCATTCTCTTGCTCGTTTTCCCCAAATCTTTGTCACCAGTTGCCAGTCAATTCTTTCTTATAACACGTCTCAAAACACAGTATACACCTTGTTATTCTAGGTTTATGACTTTCATCTGTCTCCATGACGGCTGCATTATTTTTTCTTCTATCATTACATGATAACATTGCATTTTTCTTCTTTTTTTTTTTTAATTCACCACAAGTAAATGTTTTTAAGCTAGTCTGCTTATCAATGTCTCACAGGCATTTAATAACAAAGCTTTACAAATTCTTTTTCTAAATTCAATCTACATTTTTTGGTCATGGGACAATAATTAGAAAACTGGAGTATATTATGACAGTAGGAAAGTTGGAGGGGAAAAGAGGCAGACGGAGACAGAAAGAAAAGATGCTGAACAGTCTGACATTATCTAAATCAAAGTTGATTGAAAGTACACCAGACAGAAGGTTGTAGATAGACATGACTACCAATGCCACACGGCATGGGCAGTAAATTACCTCATTAGGTCCTGGTGACGGAACTGGAACATTAGTTTCCAGCTTCAAATTCTCAGGTCCTCCAAAAGAGGCAACTCTGATAGCTCTCATGATTTGCCTGCTGACTCTGCCAACACTCGCTGACATTCAAATCTATGCAGTAGTTTCTTATCCCACTGGTGCAACTCCAAGAGATCTGAGAAATTAAATAATTTTAATCCAAGATTTTTAAAAATGCGGACACAAACAATACACTGAACAATTTACTGCTTGGCATATTTTGCTGTAGCTCAACTCGTGAGTCCTAGCTATCTAGTTTAGCCCAAATCCATGCTGCGCGAGCGGTGTGAGGGATACTCTCGGCGGTGACGATAGTCGCTGGAAAACCGCAAATTAGGTCGCCGGAAGTGCGCAACTGGCACGTGACTGAGGCTCTGTTTTTGGCCATCATCATCTTTTGTGCCCGTTATTCGGAGGATAGCCTATATTTTTATAGACCAATCGGCGCAAGATGGGTGATGTAGTCAGCATCACGCTGGCCACCTTTACTTCCCAGGACTGCACCTGGTACCTACTCAAGACTGGGTCTACCTGGGAGTTAAAGTAATTTTTGAAAAAAGTCTGGCTCGACCAGGGAGTGAACCCACGACCTTCCGATCTGCAGGCGGGCGTCTAGAGGCTATGCCACAGCGACTTCTCTAAATTATTAGTAATTACAATAAATGAAAGTACAAGTTTGCTGTATCCACTCCGACTTCTCTAAATTATTTGTAATTACAATAAGTGAAAGTACAAGTTTGTGTGCCGTACAAATTCAAACAGAACAATCTTGTACAAGCACTTACATGCTGCCAAAAATGTGAACAAATGATACCAAGACAGCAAACGTGCTTCTCTTATAGGTATAATCTGGTTATCTGCTGAGTCACCATGACAAGTAATTTAGTTATCCGGTCTTTTCTGGAAACAAAACACAGGGCGCCGGCACTCACTTATAAAATGTCTTTAACAATAGCAGTGAAAAACCAGAGGAATACAAGTGGTGCCGGTACCGTTATATATCGCCAGAGAAGAAGAAAAAAAACCGTTAGTATGCAATGACAGGAAAGTTTAGAAAGTAATTCACTAATTGAATTCCCACCATGGAATGAAGTACTTGTACTGGAGAGAGACTGCTAGCTAGACCTATGTTTTGTTCCTTTCTCATTGTGACTTTCAGTTTCTCTAGTAGTACTGCAACACTCAGGTCAGTTGTGCACATTAATGAATCAGTCATTGGCCATATTTATCGTGTTAAATTAAAATGCATGTTAGCTACAAAGACATGTTCTTGTCACACAAACCTGTCGACGTGAGAATCCTGTTTTTGACGTACACAGTACTACAGTAGACAAGCTACAAGATATGATATGGCATATGGATAGGTTTTCCCTTGCTTCGGGTCAAGGGTTGAGGTCAGGGTCAGGAGCAACTAAAAAAAAAGCACGAATGTATTTACGAAACAAATATATTTTTTTTTCCATACGAGGAATGAGGAAACCCTCTTGTTCGGTATTTCAGACACTTGATTAGGTTTATTGTTACAGATTTCACTTTCTCCATTTATCTCTGTGATTTCCGCCCTACCCCGCATAGAACTGCGTGCCCTGACTTGATACTGGTTTTCCCGTGGCTATAATAAAAAGCAAAACAGGGTTCATGTGAGGTCAGGGATAAGTTGGCAGAAGGAGAAACTGATCCTCTCCTGGCAAAGGTACCGGAACCTGGGACCTCGTGTCCCTTTTGGGCGAACACACGAAACGATGATGATCAAATAACAAGTGTCAGCGGTGAGCCCATTTGTTTTTTGTTTAAATGTCGACAAAGGGTTCCAGATGAACGACACCCTGAAGTTATAATCCAGGTAGGCTTCCTGCCCCTAGAGTGTGTTAGGAAATTGGGGGGGGGGGGGGGGGGGGAGGGCTCATAGGTTCCGGCCCCTACGAGCTGAAGGGGTTAATTCTGATGATCTGAAGCTTGTGCTTGTTGCCTTTTCTCTTTCCCTCCCTGTCTGCTGCATAAAGGTTTGACAACCGTGGGATCATTTGTACCAAAACCTGGTTTAGGTTCCATTGACCCCCCACCCCCACTTCCCAAAAAAACCCACATATTTAACGAGTGCTGAGCTCTCTCACCCCTCCCTCCCCCCATATTTAAATGAAGCTCTTTTTTATGACAACACATTTTCTTTATGCCAACACTTGACTTAAAATGACTTCAGCTGGAATAATCAGCGATACCAGCATCCCCGGTATACTGTCGGACCTTAGCTCGTCCTATCTTAAAACAACAGCTAGCAAGCCACGCTAGAAATAACTGGTTGAGGATTTAAAAAAAAGGCTATCTCGATAAATCGGGGAGGGGGAGGAAGGGGGGGGGGGTACTTACAAAACTATTTCTGTAAGGCAAGCCACTAAGGCAGATTAAAGATAATTGGCTCAACCATGGCCGACCATAGGTAGTCTATTAACTACCATCGGCTATGGCTCAACCTTAACAAAAGTCATTACAGGGACACTCGAACCTGGAAAGAAGTTTTTAATTGGGGCACTCGTATCGGCCACACAATACAGACCTGGTGCAGCCGGTAGGCCTGTGCGGGTAAGGATCTCATGCATGGTGTGCTAGCTCCTCAGCGGATTTCGTTTTACGTAGGCGAAAAACAGTAAACTAACAGAAGAATCCTACTTCAAGATGCAGAGTCGTACAGATATTTTGGCAGTAATGTAGCTACGATGGCGTCTGTGGCTTAGGCATTGCGAATGAGCTTCTTCGTCTTCTTCTTTGCTTTCACCAGCTGTAACCTCCGGCGGAAAGTTCTGGTTGTTCATCCACCTCTGGACTGCAGTCCTGTTCCAGAACCTGAGTGTTGCGTGTGCATCCGTTTTACAGATCTGACTAATTTGTATGCAGACTGCTGGTTCCTTACCCCTCAGGCAGATGCACTCCGACTTCGAAGGAAGCTCCCAATTAGCCTACTCTTACGATACGCTTTTGGGTACACTATGGGTCTATTCTTGTTTTCCCTATAATAGGGCTCCGGAATGAGGCTCGTAATGCCGGGTTCGTTCCTAACTGCGGACGGTTTGTCCTGCGTTGGTTTCCAGTGGTATCGAGAGCTGGCCGTTTAGAAAGCAATGACAAATTACTGAACGTAAAATTTGCAGACAAAAACCACAACAGCCAAAACAAAATACAGTGTTTGGTTTTGCAGCCCCCCTGTAAAGAATACGCAACTAACTTTTAATGTAGATACAAATATGGGAACTGACAGAGAAAATGCAAAAGGAGTTTTCATAGCACTAAATAAATTGTGAAAGTAAAAAGAAACTAAAACTAATACTAAACTTAAAATATTTTACATTTACGTCAAATAGAACTGTTGTCTGGAAGGTAATCATGGAGACCAACTCAAACTGCCAATTACTCAAACAGTTTCGAATAAACTGCAAACAAGTACTGCGCAGAACAGAAGGAATTAAAAGGTATGATAAAATCGTTTATGTGGAGGTTTGGAAGAGAACTAAACAAATTCCAGCGAATCAAGAGGTGAAGATAAAACGGCGGAGCTGGATAGGACACATGTCGAGAAAACAGTATAACAGTAAAACTAAGGCCTTTACATTAAATCCCCAAAATTTCAAATAAAGGCAGACCAAAAAGAAAACAGACGGAGATGGGAACTAGAGAGTGTCGTTAGCAAGATGGAGAGGGCATGGGGGAACTGCATGCCATAGAACAGGATAAGATGTCTTGGCATGGCATGAGTTTATTGTGGACCTATGCTTCATTGAGGCGGAGGATGAAGGGCAGAAGCAGGATAAGTAGGAGGAGGAGGAAAAGAAATAAAGATGGACGGCGTAATGTTGACAACAACGCCAACCAAGTGACGATTGATCTAATGTTCTTTAAAATATAGGTCTAACCTGAAGATGTGGAAAAGGGTCGTTTACTGTTTTTTTTTAAAAACTGTTTTAAGTGGCTTAATTCTGTTCAAGGAAATCAATGATGGTTTGTCCACATATTTCTACGAGTTGTAGCTTTTTAAACACCACAAACCCAATACTCTCCAACTCTTGTCCTTACTGCTAACTTAAGACTTTCCAAGTCAAAATTAACAACCTAAAATTATGAACAACATCGTCTCTTTTATATTTTAGGACCGCCTACATAATCTACCTGATGCTGGCTGGCCCTGGAATCAAGTTAACACCCACCTCACGTGGTTGCTCCTCCCTTTTGACAGGTAAGTGTTTAGAACTACTGAGTTATCTCACTTTGATACTAAAGAGAGAAGAAAGACAGGAATATTTAATTTATGTACTGTTTTAGAACACCATTTATTTTATTATTCAAGTCGGAAAAAAAGGGAAAAAAAAAGGGGGGGGGGGGGAATTCTACCAAAAATAAACTGGGAAATTTTCTGACCAACTTTAAATGAATATATTATCATAATCATCATCATCACTGTCGTCGTCGTCACCATCATCAACATTAACTGTTACTTCTGTCGTTAAGCGCCTTAGAGAAGAATAGTTAGCGTTTGAGCGCTCTATGGGTACCACTGGGTCCTGTCACTCGGTGTGAATGTCAATGTTTTCTTTGTGCGGCCTCTTTCTCTTGTATCTGATCTTGTTTAGGTGTATGCCATTTTCGGTAGTTGTGGCTGTATTCTATTCTTTTAGGTTGTGTCGCGAATCTCTGACGCTAAGACAACTGCGTTACCGAGGAGTTAAGCTTGATGAAGCACGGCTAAGCTGTTTTCGTGTTAATGACAGGAGATATTATAACCAACTCCTCATGGGAATAACCAGTAGAGGTACCTTGGAGTAGCTGTTGCATCGGAGGACTGAGTAGGGGATGTTGATGCCCAGTGTGCAAAGACGTCGATTGTGATAACACAACATAACATTAGGATGTATCAGCTGTGACGAACGAGGCAATGAAAATATGTCGCTTACTGCATTCAACGTTTACTTACCGAATCAATTTCCTGTCTTTGAATCAGCTTAATTCATAGATACAAAATGTAAGTGCATGAGGAACTGTAGGTCAGAAATGTAAAATGGAAACGATATGGTTTCAAATACACTAGCGCATACAAACAT